ATATATGAATGAATAAAGATGATTGAGAGCAATCATGAACGCTCATTAATTCACACTTTTCCAAATTTAAATTGAAGCCTGATGCTTTGGAGAATGCTTCTTCTGTTTGGATAGCCAGTGGAATCTGAATTTTATATTTTAAAAACAAAGTTTGTCTGTTAGGTGACTTATAATAATATTCTGATTCATAATTTGCAAACCAGAGGGCAGCACGGTGGCGCAACTGGTAGAGCTGCTGCCTCTCAGCGAGCAGGTCCTTGGTTCAAACCCTGGTCCAGGGGCCTTCTGGGTGGAGTTTGCATGTTCTCTCCGTGCGTGCGTGGGTTTTCTCCGGGTACTCCGGTTTCCTCCCACAGACCAAAAACATGCATGTTAGGCTGATTGGTAAATCTAAATTGTCCCTAGGTGTGAGTGAGAGAGTGAATGGTTGTTTGTCTCGTTTGTCTCTATGTGGCCCTGTGATGGACTTGCGACCCGTCCAGGGTGTACCCCGCCCCTCGCACAGTGATTGCTGGACATGGGCGCCAGCGACCCCCGTGACTCAAAATGGAATAAGCGGGTAAAGATAATGGATGGATGGATGGATAATTTGCAAACCATGAAGATTGGATATCCTGATGCATGCTCAATAATCCAGGTAGACTGGAGTTTCTTATAGAGATAGCTAGCTCAGTAATGGTGATGAACAGGAGAGGCAGATTAGGCAAAGATAGAGTATTTACTCTATCTTTGCCTAATCCCTCTTTTTATTGTAAATCTGGGACTTGTTCCTTCTGCTAAGGAAACACAACTGTTAACATCTGTATGCAACATTTTTGATTATGTTTAAGAACTTCTTTCAAATGCCCAAATGTCTGAATGTTCCAAAAATGAAAGGATGCTCCACCAAAGCAAAGGCTTTCTGAAAATCCAGAAATAAGATGACACCTTCATTGGGAATTAAGTGGGCAAATTCAGTTAGATCTAGAACCAGACAAATGTTGTCATGAATTGATCTACCTTTCAGAAAACCAGTCTGAGTTGAGCTAATTATATCAGATAAACCTTCTTTATGTGGATGGAGCTGCAAAAACTGTAGTAAATATTTTATAATCTGTGTTAAGAAGTGTGATGGGTTTTAAATTGTTCAAGTTTCATTAATCTTTTCCTGGTTTTGGTATCAGTATGATGACACCTTGTTTCATTGTTGTCATTAATTCTTTCTGATTAATACATTCCATAACTGCATCAAACAACAGCATTTTTGTCTTTCCAAAATAATTTCTAAAAGTTTACAGTTATATGATCCAGGAGCTTTCTCTGATGCTACTTTTTTAATAATACAGTCAAATCTTCAATTTGGAAATCCTCTTCACAAATGGACCTAAATGTCTCATCAATGTTAGAGAGAATATTTCTAATTTTTATAAAAAAGGATTCTGAATCTTGATATGAATATGAGGATGTAAACAGATTACTGTAAAAATCCTTAACCTCTTTGGGTATTTGTTTTATTTCTGTAAATTCCTCACCGTTAATTATGAGGTTGTTAAATGTATTTTTCACCTGTCTTTATTTATCAAAACTAAAAAATATTAAGTATTTTTCTCACCCTCTTCCACTCACCTGGCTCTTGACCGTATGTACACTTCGTGAGCATTATTTTGGTAATGTTCATCCAGTTTGGACTTTAAATGTGAAGATTTATTTAATACCCAGATATTTAGTAACTGAAAGAAGCAACTCCAAGACCAGCGAATAATTAAAGAGTGTTTCTTTCCATCTTTACCCATTTTGTTCCATTTTGGGTCACGGGGGTCGCTGGTGCCCATGTCCAGCAATCACTGTGCGAGGGGCGGGGTACACCCTGGACGGGTCGCAAGTCCATCACAGAGCCACATAGAGACAATCGAGACAAACAACCATTCACTCTCTCACTCACACCTAGGGACAATTTTAGAGTTCAGTGTTTATTTACAATGTGAAAATAATAACAGCTGGCTGCAACCCGGTGGGAGGGACTGGAACATGTAGAGGGGAAGAATTTCTTACAGGGGTGAGGGTCCAATGATTCCAGTTGTTGTAACGAGGAGGTCCCAGAGAGGTTGCATAGATCGGTGGGCAGGTGGTGGAAGGTGAGGAACGACTGGAGAAAAGCACTAGGAGGCTCACAATGAAAACAAGGATGTCCCGGGCACAGGACATCCTTGTCCTGATGCATGCTCAATAATCCAGGTAGATTGGACATGAGTAGAAGCTGAAATACAGAAACAAGGTTTTAGTTTTTACAAAACTCAAGGAGTATAAATGTGGACAGGAAAACAACTACCCGTAGGCAAACAATGCATCAGCATCAGAGTGAAGTCATCAACTACAATGCAATGGACCAGTTTTTCTGCATCATTTTTAGACAAGATGTTTCTAATTTTAGTGATATTACGCAGGCGGAGGAAAGCGGTTCTGGTACCATTTTAAGTATGGTGGTTAAAAGACACGTCCTGATCAAAAATAACACCAAGGTTTTTAACTTTAGAACTGGAGACCAATTAAATGCCATCCAGAGAAAGTGAAATACTGCAACATTTACTCCTAAGATGCTCAGGTTCAAAAACCACAATCTCTGTCTTGTCTGAGTTTAAAAGCAGAAAATCAAGGATCATCCAAGATTTTTGTCTTTAAGACATGCTTGTAGTCTAAATAAATGATTGTATTCATCGGGTTTCATGGACAAATATAATGGAGTATCATCAGCATAACAATGAAAATTTATCCCATGCTGTTTAATATCTTCACCTAATGGAAGCATACATAAAGTAAAGAGTACTGGTCCAAGCACTGAACCCTGAGGAACTCTATAAGCAACTTTGGTATATGAATTTGATTCATTATTTTTATTTACAAACTGTAATCTATCAAATAAATATGATTTAAAACATTTTAGATGTAATGTTAGCATGGTTAGTTCAATTTATACCCACTAGTAACTGAGGGGTTCAATGTCTCACCCCAACTAGAAATTAGTGATTTTGTTAGTTTATTTCTGTTTGTTATCTCAATTTTCTGTTCACTAAGTTTAAGGTTGGAACCTTTAGTTTTTTGTCTAGTTTTAAAGTGTCAGAAGTTGTCTTTATCTTTTAACGTGTTCTTGTAGTTTCTTAATAAACCAATGTTTTAATTAAGCAAGGCTGATAATGTTGAGGCGTCCCATAGTTATCAAGGTCACAATCACAAAGCCCACAGTTGACCAGGCATAAGACAAGATCTACATTGGGATTCAGTTTGGAGACTTGATTTCTCTGAAAATCTTATCAATAGTAACTACATTAATGGTTTTCAAGCCCTCACACTGGATTTGGTCAACTTTTGAGTCCAGTTTAAAGGAGTACATGTTGAAAATAGTCTGAATGTCAATGTTGCAATGCTACTGTTCCAGATCTAGATGATAAAGAGTTACATCACTTATGTGGACTATTGCATCTTTTGGAACAACTATCCAGAGCGTATAAGCTGGAAGGTCCAGATGTGTTTAAAGATTGTGGCGATCATAGGTCACATTTGTACTTGTTGCAGGTGTATTCACTAACCAATAGCTACGCACCACCTCTGCGTGAATAATGGTGCAGTGGAGTTAAAGTATTGGGGCATTTTGAGTCTTTGGTCATTTCTTTGAGACCACATGTACCAGTTTGTATATACCACTTG